TAGTCATTTTTGGGGCCCTTTATAGCTTGCTGTTCGGTGTGAGCCAAGGCTCCATGTGGAAGTCCGTACTTTGACCTATATAATGGTTTACTTTTACAAATTGTGACTTGGATGGAGAGTTGTCTCATTGGCACTCATACCACATCTTCTTATATCTATTATAAGAATACTTCATTGGTCAAGTAAAATCACAACTGATTGCTTTCTTTCAGTTAGGACCAATTCTGTTTATATTTATTTTTGTTGTGGATTATATTGATCTTTACAATATTTTTCCTTTTTCAAGTTTCAAGAATTGTTTTGATATAACATGATACTTTTAGATGACAGTTATATGGGATATTTTGAAAAATCTAAGGTCATACTGTAAATTAAATGTACAGGTGTTTCTTTGCCATTTTTTTTAGGGGGGGGGGGAGGCGTTTTTTTTTTGTGTTTCATATTAAGCTCTCCAATGAACGAGGGTCAGTGTCAGCTATGTATATTGCCATCACTTTTAGTGTCCGTTTGATGATTTTTTTTTAAACCTTTTCCTTTGAAACCACATGGCCAATCTGGATCAAACATTTCCATAATCATATTTACGGTATTTAGTTAAAAAAGAGATATATTGTGTTTGTCCACCAGGCAAAAGTGTCGCTCATGTGGCTTTGGATAGAAAATAGGTGTCAAATCATTTTTTTTTCTTTAGCGATTAAAAAAGTCCCCTAAAACTATTTATTTTGTTATCTCGAAATCATCATTCAATTTGTTACATCACTTATGATTAAAAAAAAAGCGCTCAGGACGCATGCAATTTATAAAGTGTTGTTTTCATTTTGTATGCCTTTACTGACTATTGTACCCGATTATTGCATTTTTTGGATACATGCATTATCTTGAAAACTATATTTACTAACGAGATACTGTAAACAGATAAAATGACAAGCAAGATATATAAATGACTCGTCATGATGGAATTCGTCAATCTAATCTCCATATGAATTATTCATTTCAAATGACACTTTTAACCAATTTGTTTACGCTTTTTGGTAAAAATAAAAAAAATAATGGACGCCAAGGAAAATTCGAAACGGAAAATCCCATATCAAATGGAAAAATCAAAAGCTCAAACACCTCAAACGAATGGAAAACAACTGTCATATTCCTGACTTGATACATGCATTTCCTTATGACTGTGGCAAATGGTGGATTAAACCTGGTTTTATAGCTAGCTAAACCTCTCACTTGTATGACAGTCGCATAGATTTGCATTATATTGACAACAATGTGTGAGCAAAACAAACAGACATAATAGGTAAAAATGTCAAAAATTGGGGAACAGCAGTCAATTTAGTGTTATAATCTTAATCACTATAAAACAAACAATTATACATGTATTGGTAAATCTACCGATTGTGTCCCATTCCCGATTGTGACATTTTGACTGATTGTGGATTTGCATGGAGGATGAAGTGAGCAGAAGACGCTTGCCGAGTCGACGCATTCGGTTTAGCACCTTTTGTAGTTCATGCAATTCTAAAGCTTTTGTTTTTTTTCCCTTTATTTCTTATTTTCTTAATGAATTTATGACTCTAGAACATCTTTACACTACAGTTGGCTATTTGGCAATGATCACGAAAAAATAGCGACAAATTATGCCATGCAAAAATGATGAGCACAATATATAAGATTTAAGAGTACGCAAGCATGACCGAAAATATCGAATGTTAATTCAACCGTCCTCTTGTACTAAAAAATGAATTTCATTCTACAATGGCCGTCTTGATCTGAGCACAATTCTACTTATCCTGTCTTAAAAAGGCATATGCTTTGATAAGTCTAGTGTCTGGTATTACTATAAATTTTCACTTCTTCGAACTATGAACATCAAAATTATTTATTTTGTAAAAATATTTCCTTTCTCCTTTTAAACTGTATAGCTAACAACAAAATTATTTTCATTTACCTGTGAAAAATATTATTGTAAATGGCGGATTTTTGTTTAAGGTTATTGTTGTTTTTCTGAAATTGTTTAACATTTCACAGCGGTATAATACTGTTACTTTAATTATTCATCCCTTATTTTATTGATTTTGTATTTACATTGTATCAAAGATCAAATTTATTCGTTCAGTGTATGTTCACTTGTGTTAATATGTCTTTTGATTGAGTTAAGCCATTTCAATTGATATTTTATAGTGTGTCTTTCTATGTTGTGATGTTACACTATTGTTTCAGATAAGGGTGAAGGTTTGGTACCATTAAAACGTTTAAACCCGCTGCAATTGTTTGCACCTTTCCTAAGTCAGGAATCTGATGTTCAGTAGTTGTCGTTTGTTGATGTGGTTCATAAATGTTTCTCGTTTCTCGTTTTTTATATAGATTAGACCGTTGGTTTTCCCGTTTCAATGGTTTTACACTAGTAATTTTTGGGGCCCTGTACAGCTTGCTGTGCGGTGTGAGCCAAGGCTCCGTGTTGATGACCGTACTTTGGAACTATAATGGTTTACTTTTATAAATAATGACTTGGATGGAGAGTTGTCTCATTGGCACTCCATCCAAGTCAAAATTTATAAAAGTAAACCATTATAGGTCACAGTACGATCTTCAACACGGAGCCTTGGCTCACACCGAACAGTAAGCTATAAAGGGCCCCAAAAAATTACTAGTGTAAAACCATTCAAACGGGAAAACCAACGGTCTAATCTATATAAAAAACGAGAAACGAGAAACACTTATGAACCACATCAACAAACGACAACTACTGAACATCAGATTCCTGACTTAGGACAGGTGCAAACAAATGCAGCGGGTTTAAACGTTTTAATGGTACCAAACCTTCACCTTTCTGAAACAATAGTGTAACATCACAACATAGAAAGACACACTATAAAATATCAACTGAAATAGCTTAACTCAATCAAAGGACATATTAACACCATTGAACATACACTGAACAAATAAATTTGACCTATGACACAATGTAAATACAAAATAAATATCTATATAATTATATTATCATTTAAGCTTCTTTTCAGATTTTATTCTTGCGCTCAACAAAATTCAGACAGATAATTTATAATAATCCACACTTACAATTAAGTTGTAAAAAGATCTTTTAATATTGTTTTTTTATCGGTACTTCATTGATTGTGTTATTTATGACCTAATATATAACTTCATATGTGTTCTTATAATGTAATGAACACTGACAATCCTGTATCCAGTATCTTGTCGATACTTATTACGGCATTGCATACTGTTATGTTTTTCAGACCGTTAATAAGAACTTTACACTAAATCTGTCTGGAGTACAAAATTATAGCCTAGCTGGTATCTTTAATGAGTTTTATTTTACAACCACTGGGTCGATGTCACTGCTGGTATAGGTTTCCTTCCTGAGGTTAACGCAAGCCCAGTAGTTCGCAACTCTGTGTTGACATGAATTATCATTGATAATGGTTACATTAATAAATTAACCGTTTACAAAACGTTTTCGAAATACTAAGCATGTTCTACCACAGGAATAGAATATCTTAGCTGTATTTGACAAAACCTTTCGGAATTTTTGAACCGCAATGCTCTTCAACTTCGTAATGTATTTGGCCTTTTAACTATTTTATTCGAGCGTCACTGGTGAGTCCTTTGTAGACGAAACGAGCGTCTGGCGTACACAATTATACCTTGGTATCTTTCACGAGTTTTGTTTTACTTGATCCTCTTTTTTTTTGCAAGTTAAATTTCAAAATAATTAAACAAATAAATGAGGAAGTATAATAAGAGCATTTTTAACCCCTTAAATGCAAAAAGATTGAATTTCAAGACTGAAAATTATGTTAATTTCATTGATAAAAGAACAAGTAAATATAGTCTGGACACATGTAGAAAGGTAACTTGTGATGGCACTATGACGTTATAAACGAGTTGAAATATTTCGCCAAAATAGACAATTTTATACATAGGTTTTAGACAAAATAGAAATGAGGAAAGACTTTTCCAAAAAAAATGTGTTACACACATTGACAGGTTTATGAAACACATCTTGTAGCAGAATATCTCTTTGGGAAATCTCTTTGCTCATACATTGTGTATTTGATTATTTAATGACATGATCTCAAAATAAGGCTTCTTCGACTATTTTTGCAGTTTTGCACTAAATCCAAAAGATGTGAAACCTAACTGCAAATATGTAAGACAAAATTCAAACTGTGAATACTGATATCAATTAGAATAATGTTTTATGAACATTAAAATGACGGTTATTTTGTAGATATATAATTTTAGATTTTTTATTTTAAGGGGCGAAAAAAAGATAGTCTGATCACGTTGTATTTGTGTTAAATATACCTTTTAATTTGGACATAGGCATCACAAAAAAAGAGTTGTTTATTAAACTGTCTACTTTGGTTTATTTTTCTTCCTCTTCTGATTTTTTAGTTAGCAAACCACATTTAATTACATAACTGTCAAAGAGACCATTTCTAAACGCACTTCTTTAGCTCGGGTTAAATTTTGCTACCTGAGGGGAGGGGTCAAAAGATGACCATATATCCTTAATCCAGTGAACTCTTTGTGTTTTAGGTAGAAAAACGTCTTCAACACCATTCCAACCTAATATTATCAATGTCATGTTTAGGCTTTGTGAGCAAAATGATTTCCTTAAAGCCGCCAATATTTTTTGAAGGATTTTCAATAGACTTTCAAAACTGAAAATAACAGTCAAATAGAATAAAGAATTGAAACGAGGAATGTGTCAAAGAGACAACAACCCGATCAAAGAGCAGAAAACAACACAAGGCCACCAGCTGGCCCCTAAACAACAATGTATACTAGTTCAGCGAAATGGACGCCACACTAAACTCCGAAACATACAAATGAACCAAATTAAAAAAAACACACACAAGACTAACGAAGGCTAGAATTTCCTGACTTGGGCAAAATGCGGCGGGGTTAAACATAATTTGTGAGATGTCAACCCTTCCCCTATACCTCTAACCAATGTAGAATAAACAAACACATAGCAATACGAAATCTATTTTAATCAGCATGCGATAGAGTAGCCCACAATGTTCAAAGGGAGACAATTATGTTGCGTTGTGAAAATGTAACTTTTCAAATAAATTTGATTAATATCTTTATTTACCTATAGATATTCTACATATTCAAAAAACAAAGAGCCTGAAACAAAAATGAATAAAAACGTTATTTCTGTATAAGGAACAGAGAAAACAAGAGTGTTTAATATTAGAATATGAAATGTATTACACATTTGTAGTAAAACTTTGAATGAACTAGATTCAGATGTCAAATTTGTTACGGAAATGTTCCGCAAATTACTGTACCTACTTTTTATCATTTCTCAAATTGTAAGACATTCCTCACAATACTAAGACTAATCCATAAATGAAAGGATAACTGAAATCACTATAAAGGAATTTCTTTATTAAAACCAACCAAGAAGTCATTTGAGCATTGACCATTTTACAATATTCTAAGTTTGTAACAATATGATTATCCCTTTCTTCGTGATAAAGTACGAGCGTTATACTCAGCCTTATAGTTAGAATATAGCAAAGTGATCTCGACCAATGAAATTGAAGGATTTGATGTTTCACATTCGTAAAGAATGAATGTATTGGTCGATTAATGATGCTTTACGCCGTATCTGCACAAAAGACTATATCGCATCGCAGGTGGGAGTAAATAATGTTCTTAGTAAGGCATTATCATTTAGGTTAAGACTATATATTATATGTACTTACAATTCAAAACAACGAATTTCTATAAATGTGTTACAACTGCTCCGATGCGCAATAATCAGCTTGGAATAATGATGGAAACTGACTAAGAATTAAATTTGAAACGAAAAAAAAAATCTAAATAAGGTTGACGTATACTGGTGCAGTAAAATTAGGAGCATTGATGTTATTATGTGAATATGTATATATAACTTTAAAACTACAATAAAAATAAACGATATCAAAGAAATGCAAAAAAGAGACTTTTTAAACTTAATTATAGTCTATTTCATTAGCTTGTACTCTTACCAAAACTCGCATTACTGGATCCGCATTTGGTAAGAATGGTAATTACTAATACCGATATTCTGATACAGTTAAACTGGAAGTTAAACTAACTTTTTAACCTCACATTAAATGCTTTTTATTTGAACATTTGAATTTTAGTTAATTGCGTACTATTTGATGGAAATATATATAGCTGCATGACATAAAATATTAATTTAGTTGTAACTTAGATTTTGAACTTGCTAACGCTCGTTCTAAATCATGAAAAAAGGGATTATCCATCCCATATATATATATATGTATAAGTGAGCTCAAATAATCATCAGAATGATGTGTAAATCAAAATATTGTCCTATGACACATTGTTCCCCAGGACAGAATTTCATGATTATTTATGTCGGACATTTCGCATATACATGCGTTTTAGTTCGTGAAGTCACCACTTCTCACCAATGCTCCAGAGAACTGGTTGTACCGCTCCGTTGCCCATAACTTCATTCCGGCAGTTCCCTGTACCCATACTTCGTCTCTTTTTACGAGCTTGAGGTAAACTGTCTGAGATGCTACTTCGTGCCTACTATCACCTGCTGTGTAAAGCCTGACTACCTGCTTGCCATTATGATAAAGGTTTGCGTGAATAGCGTTGTTATGGTGTCCCATTAAGCTGAACGAGATGCAATAAATACCGGTTATTGGAGCATGGAATATACCGGTAGTAGAACTGTATGCTTTACCAACATTTGTCACAATATTGTCATACTTTATTGGGTTATTTGTCAATGCATTTCCATTCGATGATATTGCCGTAAAAGCCACAAATTCATCTGGATTTATGTCTGCAAAAGTAAAATCTAGATTTAGTCAACAAGACTAAAGAGTAATCATCAAAGGTACAATGATTATATTTTTGAACGCAAGACGCATGATTCGTCTACACAACAGTTAAAAAAAACAAGTAGTTGTTACACCAGATTTATTTGTAAAGATATATATCTACTTCTTGCATTTTTCTAGAGACAAGGATTTACTATTAGCAAAAGAAATAATTACAAACCAATGTAAAATAAAATCGTTACATGGATGCTTTTTTTAAAACTATTTTTGGTAGTCACAAATACATCTGGTCTTCATCCTGGGCGATGTAGATCTTGATATATAATAGAGTCAATTGTAAATTAAATTGTTTAAACCGTTGGCTAAAATCTAGATGTCTGTTGTGGTTTTGATTTGTTGTTGAGTTGTTGTTCCATTACCCCTACACCTTCTTTTATTCCTATTTATTAAATCTCTGTTCAATAGAAATTCTTATATGATTTGCATATTTAGTAATTATTTACAAATACTTGAATGTGATTAGTCCGTTAAAATATTTTTCCTTGGTTTACACTTCGATCGATAGACAATTTTGCCAAAACTACTATCATAGCTGTTGAAAGTAATATGATGATGTCACTGTTATATATGAGGGTAGGAATGCCCTTTATCGTCAAGCGTCAAACGTCCGTTTTTCGCTACCGTTAGCGTCAAATGAGCTTTATTTTTTTTATCGTCATTCGTCAAATCTCATTTTGTAGCTACCGTTAGCGTCAAATAGAGTAAAATGTTTATCGTTAACGTTATTTTCACAAATATTTTATCGTCATTTGTCATGTGGGGTACCCCATTTGTACCCTCATATATTCATGCGCGATACACATGAATTGAATCCTGGGGATCTAAGAATACAATATTTACATATATACAAACAATACAAGCTTAAAAAAGCTTGAAGAAAAATAACAAACGCTTGCGGATGAGAATTATTTTGCTGACTCACAAACTTTTCATAAAAGTCCTCTTCGGTTCAGTTCAGGGGTTAATCGGTCCCAGTTTACGTATCAATAACATGTAGAAAAACATGATTTGTCCTATTGAAATGTGCGACAAATCATTTATAGTTCAAAATAAGTTTGAACTATTATTTTTTCAAATTGCAATTGTGTGGAATATGGTTCAGGTTAAAGAAAACTTACCCATGTTGCAGTTCAAATAAATTTCATACTTCTCATGATTTTTCTAATTACACTTGGACAGTGACACGTATAGTATGTTCTCTTGACGACCTGATACCTTTGCTAATGTTCAAACATACCAGCATGAGACAACAACAAAAAGTACGATACCAAATGACAATTAAAAAATCATAAATAGAAGAAATGTCACAGCTAAAGAGAAAAACGTTGAAAATGCAAACACCAGTATACAAAACAATACATATGAAACTTAAGACTGAGCAGTACGAAACCAAACAAAAAAACTGGTGGTGATTTCAGGTGCGGTTTTGGAAGTGGAAATACCGAGTTGTATACATGTTTAGTAATATTTTATGATTAACATCTATGAAAATAGATTTGTAAATAACTTCAATATTAAAAATTCATAATTTTATTTACTGATTATTTTGAGTTTAATAGCAATGGCAATTTTTTAGCCTTATCGTGTTTACCATATACGTTAATTTTTCAAAGTAAACAAATATCAACCGTTATGTTTAGAAAGATCAACTGTTTGTTGTCAAATATTTGCAGATTATTTGATCGTTTCCACAAAGACTTAAATTATGCTTATACTTCGATAAATGACAATTCACTGTTTTATAATTTAAAAAAATGACTTAGACTATGTACATGTAACTTGCCATCTGCATAAAAACACTCAAATTACAATGAAAATAACACTTTATAAATTTGGGATATCCAAAGCAGGTTTTGTGGGTTTTCTTCATCAAAAAGCGCTCAAGCCCCAAAATTTGAAAGGCAAAGATGTATAAATACTTCAATATGTGAGGAACTAGAGGACCAAAAAAATAACCAAATTAAAACTAAGATCAACTTTGCTTTTGGGACAATTGCTATTACCAAGGACGTATATTAAACAAGGATTCGTGTCTCTCGGTATCTCGTTAAAATATCGCAAATCGTGAGATTTGGATTTACTCACTACTACAATTATGCGCGCTTCAAATAAATATTTCCGGCTAGTTACGATAATGTAAACAACTAGAACTCCTACAGTCTCGATCTCATGACAGAAATTCTCTGTTTTGTTTTTAACTTTTGTTAATTATCTTCGATGTTCAAAAACAAAAGAAACAAATATAAAAAAATATTTTCTATCAAATATGTCTTACAGGGCCGTTAAAATCGTATAAATTTCAACGTTTTAACATTTTTATTATTGAATAGTAAATGTCTTCTAGAAACAATGATTGATTTGATTAACCCTTATTTAGTTGAGCATTTAACTTTGCATTCCTAATTCCTGTGATGATTTATAATTAATTATAATAAAGAATAAAGTAGTCCTGATTGTATGTTGTTCATTTAATGAGCTTGTGCGGTATCCTTTCTACTTTTTAACCGATTGTAAGTTGTTTATTTAATGAGCTTGTGTGGTTTCCTTTGTACTATTCAATTTAGAAAAGCTATGACCCAAACTACACTAAACGAGTCATTGTCTACTTTCAAAATGACCAAAGCTGATTTGAGAAAATTAATCTTGAGAAATATACACGAGTATGTAATAAAAAGAACGAGTTGCAATATCTGCTATTTACTTTTCGATTTGAACTCTATTAACATGTCAGATTTCTTATCTTGGGACACTGATCTTGATCTAGAACTATTGCTAGGGGAATATACAGAATATGACCCAAGTGATAGTGACAGTAGTATAGATTTCGCTGTGCCTAGTCCTAAAAAGAAAAAAACTGCCAACCCAACGGCAAAGGCGTCAGACATTTTGTATCAATGTCCAGTTAAGTGACAAGCCACTGAAAACCATCTCAGGCTTTAGAGGGCATACCTCAAAACAGCATGGTCAACAAATTCGGGCCAGTGACTTTCGTGTTACAAAAGGTGTTTCAGCAACACAATCATCAACATCTACTAGTTGTGAATCTTCACAGGTGTCAAAAGATACTTTTAGTAAAACTTTTTATACAGCACTGCCAACATCACTATGCAATATTGCAAATGACCCATTTGTTGTTAATCCACACGAGATTAAAGATTTATGTCATCAACTAGAAAACAATACCTCTGCTAAGGAATGTTTACATCAGGTTATTTACACCATTTTTGAAGAGTCAAACTCTAAACTGACACAAAGCAATGATAGAGAAAACATTTTTCGAAAACTTCATAAGGTTCGTTCGGATGTGTCCTTAAGACAGAAGTTTTTAGACCATTTTCCAACATGTTCAGAGAATGTACTTTCAATATTTTTGCAATTGATTTTTGAAGACATTATTGGTGAAATTATGGCACAGATGACCAAGGTGCAAAAAGACAACTCCGAAAAAGAGCAATCACACCTTAGTAGTAATGATCAGTCTATTCTCTTCTATATAGCAGGATATATTGTGTATTCGCTGCGTAAAAGATTTTCTAGGTATAGTGCGCATAAACTTGGTGTAATTTCAAACTTTACCATGACATCAGACAGTCAAAATTTTGTTACCCAATATAGCAAATGGTACAATATACAAGATCGTGGTGGTCTCCAAAAGCCATGTGACACTTTGTTTCTGCTAGTACGTGAGATGGAACTTATTGTACGCAAGTCTACTAGCTCAGTCTTAAGTGCAAATTCACTCTTAACTGAACCCTTGATGGAAAATATTATGGAAGGTTTCATGATCAAATACTATTGTAACATTCTAATGGCAAATGAAGAGGGTTCAATTGTTTCAGCTGTAACAGAAGACATTATCCGTTTATTTCTAAGGATACATGGTTTTGCTGTTACCCGACTTGAGCGTAATAAGACAAGCATATCATCCAAGTCTACCAAAAAGTCATCCTCAAGTTTGAGACAGGCCTTGAAAGACATAACCAAAAACTAATTAGCAGTAGTTAAAAATAAACTGTAAACAACTGTAGACTGAAGTGCTTTTACATGTATCAGGGAATTTTCTGGATTTTTATTTAAAGTCGTCTCCCCTGATCATTATATTTCAGTGTATTGATGTTCTTGTTATTTAAAGAATCTTCTCAAAGTACATTTCAGTGCTGCTATAAACTGTGTATCCTTGAATTGTTGATTTTGTGCTCATATCTACCTGATTATTTATATTAAAAGAATTAAAGTATTTATGTGTTTTTTTTTTATATACAGCTAAGACCATGACTATCAATTGTTGAATTGAGCTATAAGGTATTTCATCATTGGTAAACAATATACTTGTGTATTCGGTATAGAATGAGTATAGATAATGCTTTAGTTGTTGTTGTTGAGAACAGTTGGTCAAATTTGATTTTGTTAATTGTTTGGCAAGTTTGGTCTTTTACAGTAACCTATATACAGTATTGGTTTTGCTCATTGTTGACAGCTATACAGTAACCTTCGAATTCAGTTGTGAACATTTACATCATTTAGTCCGGTAAATAAAGAGTTGTATTCTTGGCAATTACATCACATCTCCTGTTTTTACTTGTAGCAGGTTTAAGACTGTTTTGTGAAAAATATGATTTATATTGTTCATATTCATCCTCCAGAGTCCTGCATGTACATGTACATGTGTCAGAAATATATACTAGAAACTTGTCATTGTTGTCACATAAAAGGCAGAAGTTGAAACTCAAAATAAAGCAATTTAGATTTAAATCTATTTATCTCAAACACGCAACATATATTACATATACTAGTATACACAACACAAATTACACACACAAAATCAGTAAATCAAGACATATTTAATAGATATATGTCCAAAGTATATGTACAAATAAAATCATATTATTATTATCCTCGCTAGTACTAATTACATTTTTTGTGTGAACATTTTTTCATTTTG